CTGGGAGTGGATAAAAAGTAAAATGAAGACACATACTTCTTCTACATAGGTGGGTACAGGATAGTTAACAGTCAATAATTAACTCAATAACAGTGAGGGGATTTGTGGTGTCCACAGAGCAGTGCCTGTGCTTTGAGGAGTCCAAAAAAAGGAAAATTACTTTGACTTTCCAAAGGTATGTTATCGTAGATGCAAAAAGACAATAGGCCCAGTTAAGGTTAAGATTGGCCTTTGTCAGGGAAGATACTGGCCTATGACATGACTACGGGAGCGTGGCCCCACTGGGTGGGGAGGTCACCTGACCCAGTGCCAGGGCAGGGGGTGTGGCCTGAGGTCCCCTGTCAAGCTCCGCCAGGCAGGGGACACGGCCTGAGGTCCCCCATCAAGGCCTGCTGGATGGGGGGTGTGGCCTCAGGTCCTGTGGCCTGGTGCCAGGGCAGGGGGCACAGCCTGAGGTGCCCTGTTAAGCCCCACCAGGCAGGGGGCGCAGCCTCAGGTACCCTGCCTGGCCCAGCACCACGCAGCCTCAGGTCCCTGCTGATTGCTTATTAAGGCTCATTATGGGAACTTGGCCTCCACTCTGGGCGCAGCCATCTTGTGTTATGGAATCTCTGCCTCCGCTGTGGGTGCAGCCATCTTGACCATTACTGCGTGATGGTCAATTTGCATATTCCCTCTTTATTAGATAAGATTTTATATATATTTTAGATTCCACATATAAATGAAATCACATGGTAATTCATCTTTCTCTGTCTTATTTCACTTAGCATAATACTCTCTAGGTCCATCCATGTTGTCACAAATGGTAAGATTTCATCCTTATTTATTGCTCAGTAATAATCCATTATATCTCACATCTTCACCATCTATTCATCTATTAATGGACACCTAGACTGGATGGATACCATATCTTGACTATTGTAAATAATGATGCAAGGAACATAGGGGTACATCAGCTTTTAAAATTAGTGTTTTATTTTTTATAAATACCCAGAGGTGGATTTGCTGGCTCATATGGTAGCCATATTTTTAATTTTTTGAGGAGTCTCCAAGGTTCTACTTTTTTGGGGGGGGAGGGGGATGTCACTATTTCATCCCCAGTGCCCAGTAAAACATCAGACACTGAATAAATACATGCTGAATGGCATTTTTTTTCTTAGACGTAAAAAAGAGTCACTAGGGCCAATGTTCTTGCTAGCAGGAGATGGAGATCTTGTGTGGATCACATTTACCAGGATTCATATAAAATCTATACCTGAATTTTCACTTTTAAAGGCAAAGAAAGAGAAGGAAACAGTCATTATTTCCTTTAGAATTACACACTAAAAGTCACTTGACTGAGGATGTCCAAAGCTCAGTAGTTAATGATGGATGTGGTACTATATAATTTCCTCTTCTTTCAAGAACTAACACTAAGATAAACACAGAGTAATTAGCTCTGTTTCCTAGCATTTCTCTAGTGGACAGAAACTTTCTAAAATAAATATGTTTAAGGGTGTCCTATGTTTTCAAATGTGTGATCAGGCCTGGGGGAAAACAGATCCTTCTACTTGTGTCTTTTTTCCTTCTTGGGATGAAAAACATTTTTAAATGTTTTCCTTTGCTCCAGCCTGTGAAGAAACAAAATTACATAGCTGTTTGCCAAAAACCACAATTGTGGCGACTACATCATCATATTTACCTCTTTATAATTAAGATGAGATTGATATGAAAAAATATTTTTATTCCTTTAATGATATCATATTATTATTAGATTCTGTATTATTCCTTCCGCTCTTTCTCACCTAATTATCTACTTTTTCTGAAGAGTAGACACTTTTCCACATCAACACTCTCCAGGTTACCGAGTTCTCGACAACTCTCTCTACCTGCATCACTTCTCGGTCCTCACCACCTCTTTGTATTTTCAGCTGTCAGTGAACTCTGGGGCAGGAATCAACCCACCACCCAAGACACAGAACAGGCGCCAGGGTCTCAGATTCCCCATTTCTAGAAGAGACAGAACCCCTGTTCTTCACGAAGATGGTGAGGGTTGAGTGTTAACTCCTTAATTCTCTCAAAGCTGGCTTGAAATTCTTAGGGGAAAAGTCTGAGTAAGGAAAACCCAGCAAAGTTTTGACTCAGAGGTCAGTTGGCCTTATAGAAGCCCCCAGTGTGGGTCCCCTCAAAGCTGGAAAAGAAGATTTCAAAGAAATAGGTCCCTCTGACCATTGCTCCCTAAAACCAAAATCTTGTAAATATGTTAATGCTTTGGGTTAGGTCCTTTTGGCTGTTTCTTTAAAAGAGGGTACTGGCAGTTCCTCATATAATCACGATGGAAATCAAATCATGTGCTTCAGTGTTTGGACATCGGGGCACCTTCCATTGCTGGCTCAGTGGTTTAGAGGCGGTTGTCACGTGCCCAAGCCAAAGAGTCTCTCTGGGGAATCCCTTCTTTTCCTGTTGCTACAGGTGAGCGTGTCTAAGCTTTCAGAAATAGGGCGTTCTCCCATTTTTCATGCTTATGGAGAATCAGAGGGAGAACTCAAGCCAAGAAGCATGGTTTATTGGATGAGATGGCAGTAAAGGCTCTCACGACCCAGAAGACTTGCTTCAGACATGGACAGAGTCTTGCATCTGGGTGTAGTCCCTTGGGGCAGATCAAAGCTCCAGGCTCAATTTGAAGTCTAAGGGAGATCCCTCTATGGTTGAATGAAAGCAGTGAACAGTCTGACATTGATCAAAGCCATAATGAGAGGGAGTTCTGTCTTCTCTGCATCAGGGCCTTGGAGGGGAGCCCTGGGAGGGATTGGGGTGGGAGGGTGGAGTGGCATGAGATCCAGGCCCCATGTTCATAGAGAGCCTCAGATTTAGACTTACTTTCTGTAAACGAAATCATGAATTCAGACACAAGTTGTACTTACAGGAAGAAAAGAAAACAATAGTCATCATGCAATTTTAATTTTAAAAACACACACTTACAAAACACTATGATTTGTAGCCCTGGCCTGTGTGGTTCAGGTGGTTGAACGTTGTCCCGTGCACCAAAAGTTGCTGGTTCCATTCCCAGGGCACATGCCCAGATTTTTGGTTCTGTCCCCGGTAGGGGTGCATAAGGAAGGCAACTGATTGATCAATGTTTCTTTCTCTCTCAAATCAATAAAAACATTTTAAAAAAATAAAATATATTATGATTTTTAAATTTTTAGCCATTTGTATATTTAAAAAAATATACTGGGAGGCCCAAAAGTGGCCCAGGCAGTGTTGCTCAGTGGTTGAGCATCTACCTATGAACCAGGCAGTCATGGTAATTCCTGGTCAGGGTGCATGCCCAGATTTTGGGCTTGCTCTCCAGTGGGGGGCATACAGGAAGCAGCCGATCAATGAGTCTCATCATTGATGTTTCTATTTCTCTCTCCCTCTCTGAAATCAATACAAATATATTTTAAAAACAAAAAATAAAAATGGAATTGACCTGCCTTCTCTCTGTTTTGTTGCTGGCAGAGGGGCATTTAGTATGTGTTGACTGAATAACTACGAACCATGAAATCTCACAAACGGGTGCTTATAGAGAGTTTACCTAGAGAAACAGTTCTGTGCCCTTTTCCTGGCAGTCAGATGCCCCCTGTCCACCGCCAGCAGCGTGCTGCCCCAAAGGAACCACAGCCAGCCTCTCCCACCTGTGGTGGGGCTGCCAGACTGTCTATGGTGGGACCCACACAGATTCCAGCAGCTCCAGCACAAGACTCAGCTTCCTCGCAACCCGCACTACTCCCTGAGGGGCTCCACCCAACCACTGAGCACCTTGGGTGGTGGGAGACCATGATGTCTATGATAAACCTGGAAGACAGCACATGAGGAGAAATAGGAATGGTGCTGGTTTCTCTCTGCATGAGGAGAAACAAATCTTACGACCACATAACTCTCACTTCTCCCTTAGCCGTTCACACACCATCGTCGTCAAGGCTGCACCTCAAGCCTTTCTTCTAGAAAGACATTCAGGTTAATGAATTCATAGTATCAGCATAAGCCAGCAGAGAGCATTGGCATGCAGGCTTTTTCAGGTAAACAATATAAGGTGCAGACACCAAGAATCATCAGTGAAGATAGACAAACAGCCAGTGACATCTGTGGGGTGACAGAGATTATAATCCCTTTTCAATCCAATCCAACACACTTGTATGTAGGCTAACTCTGAATGAGCCGTGCACTGGGCCCAGGAGGAGAGAGAATTTGCTTCTGATCCTCAGAGACCTTGGAGGCAGTGTGATGTCACTCAGACTTCAGGCTGTGAGTCAGACCAGCCTGCGAAAGTGCTTGGTAGTCAAATTATCACATAAAGGACCTGAGGAAATGCAGGAGGCCGCCCACCGTCTTCACTAGCAGAGAAGGGCAAACAGGGATCCCGGAACGCTGGTGAACCTTGAACCCATGGCAAGGGCCAGAGCTATGCACTGATTGTCTTGTCCAGACAATGGGGGCTCAAGCTATTTCCCGATCAAATAATCCAGACAATGGGGGTTCAAGCTATTTCCCGATCAAATAGTCTCAGAGTAAATCCTTCTAATATTTACTGACCTTCAAGATAGTCTGTCTGCTACCGCAATTGCATGCCTAAGAGCTAGATGTGTATCCAAGATTGAATAAAAGGTTGGCAAGGCCTGGGCACCAGTGGAAGTCCTTCCCCTTGAGTTGGGCTTGCCCTCCTGGCCCCCAATATTTCCAAATTATATTCTTGTCTCGTCTCTTTCATTTGTGTGCGGCCCCTCCTCCAGATACCAAACCCTGAACCCCACGCGGGACGTGGGGGAACATACACAAGGAAAGGGCGGCTCCTTTTCTTTTCCGCCAAGAGCTTTGCTCTCAGCAGTCCTGTCAAGGAGTGGCCTCCTGCTCCGGGGTCCCAGTTCCTGGCTACGTCCCGGTGCTGTGTTGCCAGAGCCGCAGGAGCCGGCGCCTTCCTGGCCCTCTGCTCGAGTCTGCCCCTTGTATCTCTACAATGTGCTCCTTCTGCTCTCCAGGAGGCTTATCGGTGGCTGGAGCTGAACCTCCTTGGTGTTGTCTGCCTGGATTTCTAGGACCCATCTCTGGTCTGGCCTGTACAACACCTACTGCCTCCAGGTTATGCCCGTTTTACTATTGAAATAACCTCTGATGTCCCCAACTCCAGGCAAATCAGTCTTCTTAAATCTCACCTTTGCTCGTGTCACACCTACTCAGAAAATATTAATGACTCCCCATGATTTCTAAATTAAGATGAAATCGCAGTCTGAAGGTTTAAGTTTGACATAAACTAGCTTAGCCCACCTCTTTGGTTTCATCTTTCTCCCCACTGGTGTGTAAAATACCAGGCTTAGTGGCTGCAGTCTTAGTGGACTGATTGCATTCCTGGAGTATGTCCTGACCTTTTCTTCCTGTGCCCTTTGCTCTTGCTGGATTTTGATGGGATTTCAATGGAGGCAGCTAGAGGAGGCAACACAAACAAAGACATAAGTAGATATGGGAGTGTCTGGAGACCAGAGAAGAGAGTTGTGTGGTTATTGGACATTGGGTGTTTACAATCCCAGAATCATAGCTGTTATAGAAGAAACTAAATGGATCATCAGGTCTATCTCTGGCCTTCAAGCTGGGGGAATATTTTTCCCTTTTGAAATATTAGACCATTAAGGCCCAGAGAGGTTAAATGACATGAATGGAAATAGGTACCAAAATGGTTAGACAGAAAAATTGGCGTCATTCTCTAGAAAGAAGCCTTTAATGCTAAGTTAAAGAACTTATAGTAAACTCAGTCAATGATGGGGACTATGGAAAGCTTTCACTAAGGTGGTGACATAATTAGAGCTACGCTGGGCAGTGTTTTCACATTGTGGAATATGATCCATTAGTGGGTTACAAAGTCAATTTCATGGTCATGAATAAAAATAATATCAAAGCCCAGTATTGCTTTGTGAGTTTTGTATGTGTGTACAGGGTTGGGAAGTAAGAGTTATTTCTTATTGTGAGTCATAGCCAAAAACCTCTGTAAACCCCAGCTTTGGGGAAATTAATCTGGTGGCAAATCATAGGCTAAATTGGGAATGCAGAGGAGGAACTTGGAGGCTGAAATTCTAGGATGCTCTTGACACGGCTCAAGTGGGCAGTAAAGGGGATCTGAATGGGAAGGAGATGGCGTGGGAGGGGAGCGGAGGGGGAGGATCTGAGGGATTCCGTGGGGTAAGAGTCTCAGGATTCGAGGACTCGTTGGATTTTGGGGACTCAGTGAGAGGGAAGAACCACTCAGGGACGACTAAAAGTCACACTCGGGTGCTTGGGAGAATGCTGATACCCACGGCCAAGTTGGGAGAAGGGGCTGGCTTGAGGACTAGCACAGAAGACTGATGGAAAGGCACACAACACCATCAGAAACTGGGGCAGTCAGGTTCCCAGCAGGAAAAAGTATCTACTGCGATGGTTTCAATGCAGAGACCTGAAGGAAGGAAGGATGTCCAGAGCTGTGGGCAGGCTGGTGGGGACCAACCCGGAATGAGAGGTGCCCAGAGATGAATCACAGTAGGAAGCTCTCCTCAGATTCTTCTGGGCCCCAAGCCAATAGGGCACCATTTCCCAACCCTCTTCTATTCCCCCGCCCCCATCTCTGAAACAAGTGCATGACCACTGGTTTGTCATTGCTTCTACTGCTACCAGTATTTCTACCCTCACCATCAACACAGGCAAATGGTTATTGAACCTTTACCCACTGCCATGGGCTTTTACATCCATGATCTCATTTAATTATAGTTACTCCATGAGTTGGTCCTATTATTATTCTAACTTCCCAGAGAAAAAAAATAGAAACCGAGGGACATTTAACAAGTTGGCCAAGGCCACACGGTTAGTAAGTGGCAATGTTGGAATATGAAGCCAGGCAGTCTGGTTGAAACCTGCTGTGTACTGATAACTACTGAAAAATAGAAAATAACAAAGGTAGCAAGTCGGGGGATGGGCAGTTAGCCACAGCAAAGCAGAATAAGTCACTGGTGATGTCACACATGGGACCAGGCATCTCGTGGTCCCACTTCCCTAATTCCTTCTTAGGTTTTATCTAGAAAGTCATCCTCCCCCACACCCACAGCCTACAGGGCTGGATGCAACAGTCATGCTCTCCAATTTAGTGGGTGGGGAGTGGAATTAGGTTGCCCTCTTTGCCTGACTGTGAGCTGTGCAGTCTCTTTCAGAACCTCTTCCTCAGTTTCCATTCTGGTTAGACCCTCTGGGTTGCTTCTTGGCCCTTCTACTCAGCAATTGCTCGAGTCTAGTCCAGGTTGGGAACCCTGTGACTTCTCTCGGAGCCTCAGGTTTCTGCACTGAGTTGCCCATTCTGCTCCCACTCTCCTCTCCCACTTCCCACCATGGAAGTCCTGCCTGTTTCCATGGTCCAGTTCAGTGTGTGTTGCCCAACCAAGTGTTAGGTTGGTTCTATCCTGAGTCCAGCTTCACACAGTCCAAGCAACTTTCCGAGCCTCCATTTTCCAGCAGCTGAGAGGCCCCAGCCAACATCCCAGGACCCGTCTGCCTTCTACCTGCACCTCCAACAGCCCCTGATGACCACCATCTTGTACATTAATCCACCCTCTCTGGTCCTTGTGTCAGAAGAGCCCGATGACTGGCTCAACTCACTGACCTGAGTCCTGTGGGGATTAAGCGAGGTTCCCCAGCTCATCTGCTCATAGCCCTGTGCTCTCTCCAACCTGCTGTGTGATGAATCCCTGCCCTCAGGCCCATGCACTCCTCCTCTCCCCCCAACCCCACTTCAAGAAATGACTTTTGAAAATGGTCTCTCTCCCTTTTTTAAAAAAGAATACTAAGCCCTGGCTGGTGTGGCTCACTTGGTTGTGTATCATTCTGTTCACTGAAAGTTTGCAGGTTTGGTTCCTGGTCAGGACACATGCCCAGGTTTCCAGCTGGATCCCAGGTCGGGGGCGTGCAGGAGGCAGTTGATTGATGTCACACACTCACATCTATGTTTCTCTCTTCTCTCTTCCTCTCTCTCTAAATTAATAAACTGCTCTTTAAAAAAATAGTACAATTCTTTTTAGATATGTGGAACAAGAATGACAATCCCCAATGCTATTAATAACACACACACACACACACACAACCCACAGTCCAGGCCTACAAGGAAGGTCTCAGGTGGGGCTCTCCTGGTGAAGGTGGCAGCATGGCAACTACTTTGTTTCCATTGTGCCCACAAATAGAGGACGTGCTTCAAACTGGATAGGAAAAGAACAAGGGCGGTCCAGAAACATGTAAGTCTGAGATAAATTGCATGTCAAGAAGAGAAAAATCCAACTACTTGCAGGGCATCAAATTTCTATGCCCAAACAAATTATGTCCTAGGATGTGGGTTGCAAACTTTTTAGTATAACTTTTTCAGACAAATCTTATATCAACCCTAATTTTTAAATATTTTAAAAATAATTTATTTTTATACATTTTTAAGTTAAAAATTATTTCGCTTACACTTCTAATGAAATTAATCTATGAGGAAAAATTACTATTTTGATGAATACCAACATTTGCAATAATTAATACAAGCATAACCATTGCAACTTTCTATCAAGCTCAGCATTTAATTTACTTCTATTATTTTACTTGCAAAGAGTAAGCAAATATTTTTTTAAGCTTGCCTTGTCATTTTTTTATAGGCACACCACATTTTATTGCATTTTTTCACAGATGTTTTTTATTTTATGTTTCAATTACAGTTGACATACAATATTAGTTTTAGGTATACAACGCAGTGGTTGAATATTTATATAACAGATTGCTCAGATAAGTTTAGTATCCACCTGACACTAGAACATTTTAAAATTTCCAAATCAAATTGTTATTAGGACTATTAAATTTCTTGACCTAGATACAAAAGTCAAACCTGAAATACACAACACTTTTTATAAGCAGTAGAGCTACATAGCAGCTTCCACATGGGCCTATGACAGCTCACCAAGGCCTGAGAGGAGCATGGACCAAATACGTGCTTCTAAGCCTTGTGTGGCTGTTGACTGAGCGCTGCATTCTTGGAAGTGCAGACCCACAACCTTCCTAACCCATGGTATATGATTAACTAGTCTCTGGTTCTAGAGTCAGACTAGTGAGGGGGAGGGGTGCTAGTGACTTGAAAGGGCACAAGGGAACTAACTTTTGGGAGTGCTGGACATAGTGGCTATCTTGACAGAGGTGGTGGTTATGTGGGTGTAGTATACTGCATGTGTGAGTAGTCATGGGCTGTATGCTTAGGAACTGTGCATTTTACCATAGGTACATTTATATGTGAGAGTTCTGTTAGGAGCCCTGGCTTGGTAGTTCAGTTGATTAGAGCGTCATCCGATATGGCAAGGTTTTTGAGTTTGATCCCTGGTCAGGGCACCTAAGAAGCAACCAATGAATGCATAAATAAGTGGAACAACAAATCTCTCTCTCTCTCCTTTCCTCTCTCTCTCTAAAATCAGTAAAAAAAATTTTTTTAAGTTCTGTTAGGAGAGAGAGTGAGAGAGAGAGAGAGAAAGGAGGGAGAGCCCAAGAAGCTTTATTTCAAGATTGGCTCAATAATCTGTCAGCACAAGTTTATGTGCCATGGGTTTCCACTGTGTTATAATTTGGTAGCTAACAACTGCATGTTTGTATTTTTAAAAAACAGTTTTAAATATATTTAAAAATGAAATCCAAGCATATTTAAAATATAAAATTCAAAGAAAATATATTTTAAAAAGACAAAGCAAATATATTTAAAATATGAAATTCAAATCAATTTAAATTTAAATCAAATATGTTTAAAAGATGAAATCCAAATCACTCGTGCCGATCACTCCTGGCACGCTTTGAAAAACCACAGGAGTTTAAGAAGTGCTGGGTGACCAGAGGTGGTCATAGCACAAGATGCATGATCCTGTGGAAAGCACATGGATTACTGAGTGTACCAACGTGGCTTCAAATCTAACTCACCGGGTCCCTCGGGTCCTCTAGTCAATACCTTATCAAACACACAGCCCCAGTTTCATCATCTGTAAAATGGGGAGAATGCCACCTGCCTCAGACTTGTTGGGGGATTGAGTGAGAACATAACTAAAGCGCCCAACACACTTATAAATGTTAGTTCTCGTCTCTTCTGTATCCCACTCTGCAGTAAAATATACTGGATTTAGAGAGGATCTGACTACCGACAGCAAGCCCTACCTTTTGACTTGTTTTTCCAGAGGCAAAGATGAATTTGCATCTCACCATCCACAACCACACCTAGACCTCCTTGCTGCCAATGACACATTTGCAAGACTGTCCGCAAGCCCTGGATGGAAACATTCAACACAAGTGGAGGTACTGGTCAGCCTTATTTTAGAGAGAAAATGACCAGAATGTGAGTGGGGCAGATCAGCCAGAGGAGCACAGCAGAAATTTGTCAAAGGACCAGAGCAGCTTCTCCTGTCTTCCTGGGTTACTCCTTCCCTTTCTTCCTGACTCTCCCCAGCCCAACTCAGGAAGCATCTCCCGTATTTTCACCAAGAGCGTGAAAACAGCGCCTCAGTTTATTAAAAGCCAAGGTTGGGATGTCCTGTCGGGGAAGTGGTGTCCACACTGTAGACAGGTCTGGCCATCGCA